TTAATTATACTATTATTATTATTTAAATGGTAGGAAAGTACCCCCCCCGTCCTAGGGGTACGCGAAGATGGTGTGGGGAAAATTCGAAGCGAATATCGCCACAAATGTTTAGGAAAATTCCGATACGTAGTGTGGACTTTACACCGGTCTGGGAGGTCAGGGAAGTCGGGGAAATTTAATTTGGGTCAGGGAAAACTATGGGCAAATGTTGGCCATTGCCCAGGTGGTTTCACCAGAGATAGCACTGCAGTGCTCTTGAGTTAGCATGAGCGGCCACAGGCAGAAGCGCCTGCACGCCCAGTGCGTAGGCAACCCATCGGGCTTTTCGGCGGGCAGCCTGTGTCCGTCGTGCTGATACAGCCTTGCTCTTTATTTGCAGTGCGAGTGAGGGTGGAGTCGTGGGAATAGTCAGCTGTCTGGCAGTAGTAGCAGACGCCAAAATCGGTTCTGTTGTTGTGCGTTAGATCAACTGTCACTAGACTTTGTGTTTCTTGTATATCTATCTATTGATTCAATCAGTAATCCGAATACAGAAATGTCGTCAGCCCTTAACAAAGAATCTACCACTCGCGAGTGTAAAGTCAACAGGAATTCCAATGCCGTTTTGAAAAACGCCAACATTGAAGAGGAAGATGGTTATGATGACCAAGTGAGCATGTTTTTTCGTTTTTTTTCCTGATCTCTGACCTATGTCAAAACTAAATTCTTATCTTATGTTAAATTTTCTAAAAAAAATTGTATTTTTGTAATCATCTAATAATGATGAGAATGTTTCAACTGATCTCATTTAGTGTTTGGCCACTATTTTCCTGTTTTACGTATGTTTCTATTTTTTTTACAGAAACCTGATGAAATGACCGCTTCATATTCTGAGATATCTATGGACTCACTTCAAAGCCCATCAGTTGACTGGCTACCCCCAGATGTAGAAGACAGCTTCCAGCGGCCTGATCGTCTGGAGCTACGAGGAATGGATGCAGACTATTTGGAGGATTTAGATGGAACAATAACTAGAGAGGGAGACATGGTCTTCTTTGTAGCAGAAGATTTGGAAGCAAAAATCAAACTTTCTAGCCCCAAAACAGGTAAGTTTAAACTGGCATTGATTGAAGAGTTGGTAGCCAACTGGGATCTAGAGAATCTTATGCTTGGTATATCATGCATTTTCCTAATTTTGCATCATCTCTTTCAAACCCTTCAAATGTTTCTTTGAAACTGTGAGAAGTGGTGTAAATAACTGCAAGTATTCAAAGCCCTTTTTTATTTATCTAGCTGATGCTCCGCCTTTCACTGGTTCACGAAGTGCTACACCTTGTCTGCATCGACAAGCTCTTTCAGCACCTCAGTTATCACCTATAGATCCTTACATTTTAAATGACCTAGAGAATGAAGCTCGAAGAATAGCATCTTCAGTGGACACCTTAACTGAAAGTCTAGCAGGAATTCTACGCAGTGTAAGTTACTAAAGCAAAACAATAGCATATCAACATTTGAGAATTTTTGTACAATTAGCATAAATTAAATATCTTTTATTGACAAAGATTCTTTTTTTCTTTTTTTGCAGATTTCAGCATTAACGGTTGACTGTGTTGAAATTTATAGAGATGCAGTTTGCAAGACATGTGATGCAGTGGATTCAAACATCAAAGTGAGAAATGATTGCTTCCGTCAAGTGATAATATTAATTTTATGTTTTAAATTGTATACAAGTTAATAATTTTGATGCATTTTTTTCAGGCCATGTATCAGTTAATGGCTAAATGCGAAGAGCTGAGCAAGTCTATGAAACCTATTTATAAACTTGCAGAAGACATGTATCCTTTAATAGTTGTGTGTTTGTTGGTTACATAGTTGCATGCCCTTGAATGTAGCCTACACTCCATGCTATCATCCTTAACAAGACTCCAGTAAGGAAGTGAAGCGTCTTCTTGATATGCTTGAGAGTGCTGTGAACAGCTGACGATCAAGAAGGGTGGCAGACACTTCAAAGTAATTAGCCACCGTCTTGGTTTACATCAGCTAAAGGAAATCTGTGAACTCTATCAACTATCACAAAGATTTCAATTAAAATTCCACAGAGAATATGAGTTCCATTATCTTAAGTATTTCAAAATTATTTCATTGTTATACCCTATCTGCAGTCCGAATGGCCTTCTATGTCCTAAGACCAGTTAGTCACCAAAGTTAGCATCCCAATTCTTTTTGTAGTGCCAAGATATTTTTTTTTGTTTGAGCACTTACATATTTTTATTACCAAAGATTCTCTTTCTCTTTCTACTTTGTATTGAAGTTTTTAGCAGTTTAAGTCAAAAGTGTCTTTGTTGTTTTAAATGGTGAGAAATATCTGGAAGATCTTGCCACCAGAGGAACCAACCTGATAGTTTAAATATTAAGATCACCCTGAATTAGTTACAGGTTACAGGCTGGTATTTAAGAACCTACAAGAAATTGCTGTTGTATTTAACTGCTTTTCCAGTTCTTTTATCTATACAGTTTATTCTGAATTGCTGCAGTGGTCATTGTAATATAAATGAAGTATTAAATTGATTAGCACACCTCCAAGAGTAGAAAATGGAACTCCCAGTCTGATACTTGAACAGGGTGCTTTCTACTTGCAAGTTGGTTCATCCCGTGTGATCAGATGGAAGTTTTAACAGGCGTCTACTGTTTAGCAATGTGTCATTGCATTGCAGCTGTAAAAGACTTCGAAAGATCCTGATTAATGTGTTTTGAACATCAGACTAAAGAGTTCACATCTGGAAAAGCTTAGCAGTCCAGTTTTTGAATCGTCAGTAAACATTCCAACCTTGTCATGATTGGATGCAGATGCATGACTAACATGCAAATAGTATAAATATTGTGTTCTATTTGTTCACGCATTCTGTTAGAAAAATTAAACAAACTTGTTGATCTATTTTATCCAGGAGTCTGTCTATCAACCTATCAACATTTGATATATTCATGCTGGAAAAGAGCTCTTATTGAAATGTCTTTAAAAAATAGTTGTCAGCTTTTGTTACCTGGGCGGAGTGAATTCTGGGAGAGCATTCATTTCTACTTGTGACTTACTTGTTGCCTTAACTGACTGAATCCTATGTAATTGATGTTTAGAATGTGATCATATTATTTTTCTCATTGGGTCTGTCACAAAAGACTCGTAAATGCCTGATAGTCAACTACTAATGAGTCATTAAAAATGACAATATGTAGACACCAAACCTATTTATAATCTTGCAGAAAGACATGTATCCCCTAAGACATAGTTCCATAGGTAGTGTTTAACGTGTTCTGGAATGCATCTTCATGTATTATAGATTTTCCTTTTCTTTGTTCTGGTTGTGAGGAAAATCACATGCCTGCCTATGCTCTGTTCAAGCGTGTTCAAGTCAGATCCATTTATGATCCAGACCCAGTGAACTTTTGCTAATTGCTTGCAATGAATGATTGGATATGCTGTCTCCATTGGATTAGTCTTTATTACAAGCAAGCTGCTAATATGATTATTTTAGTACTGTGGTGAAGTTAGGAACCAACTCAGTGCTCTGAAGAATTTTAGACCAAGGATCAAAAAGCAAAACAGCATAGGCAGAGTTATGAAGTTCAATGTTAGCCCAGGACATGAAATGGGAACCGTACTTTAAAACATTCCTCAAAATTTACTTGCTTACAGCTCAGCTTCTCTTGAATGAAGTAATTTTACTATATAGATAAGAACTGAGGATCTACTTCTAAAATATTTTTTTTTTTTTCCTCAGAGCAATGGAACTTCTAGAAATCATTGATTGATTGGAACGAAGGGGGAGTGCGGTCAATAATGCCATTGCCAAGTGGTTACCGTGCTGGCTCAGGCCTCTCCCGGTCAACCTAAACAAAAATAGAAGATCTATCTAAACTCAAAAAATGGGTAGTAGGAAACTAACTTTTCATTCAATAGGCAAAGGAGAAGCATGGAAGAAGAAAAGAATTTCAAAGTAAAACATGAGGAGAGGGTAAAAGCAACAAAGTGCCAACAGTGTAAAATCCCTGGGATTGTATCTAGACTTAAACTCATGCTGAGAGGAACAAATTGAATAATTTCTAATCACGGGGAATAATTCCAATTGGTCAAAGTCTTGTGTTGGCTCACAACATTTATGGCTGCCATATGGAGCTCAGCAACTAATTTTTAAGATTATAGCATCTCTGCATTCCACTACAAGGGCCATAAAAATTATGCTTAGGTAACTTAAAAAAAAGAAGTGCAAATCCAGAATGTTCTAGTCAAGTTCTTGTTACGTCGATAACTGTACTGATTCAGCTGATATCATCTCTCATTTCATGAAGGTACCCCTCCCACGTTAAAACTACTGTAAGCCACTCTTAGGTCTGTAGGCAACTGCAGACCCATATTATTATTATTATTATTGATAACTTCAGCAGTGCTCAGGCAGGTGCCATCTTTGCCTTGGTAACAAAAATCAAAAGCTCACTTGATAAAGACATAAAATGTGCAGCCATCTTAATTGATTTAAGGAAAGAATTCAACATGGTAAAAAATTCTATCTTTTAGGTAAATTGTGCAATATTGGGATTAGAGACAATGCGCAATGCGGCTTCCATATTAACTTCCAGATTGAGGAAATTACTTTGACAGAAAGTATCTCAGAACTCTGAATTATACCTATTTTTAGTCTCTTCCGTCATATTTGGGCTTCTCATGCTACCTAACAGATTGACACTGATATTATCCAAGCTACTCTAAAATAGAATAATCGGAAACATACAAAATTTAAATGCCACCGCTTTTTAACAAAATGAGTCTACTGCTCCTAACTTTATAACTGCTGAAAACACTGGGCAAAAGTTCAACTAGATTTGTTTCTATTCAATTATATTAATCGTAGAAAGGTGCAGGACCCCAATTGATTTTCAGATTTTTTCTCATTCAACGATAGGTTCAGAATGGTTGGTTCACAGATCAAACCAGTGAAAGTCAATTCCTAACAATCTTATTGTGTTTCAGAAAGAATGTAAAGCAAAATTATTTCAGAACTTCTTTTGAATAGATTGATCTGTTCCCCAAATGAAAATTAACTCATTCTTTTCAGTCTGACTACGAATTGTGTGTTGTTGGTGAATGTTAAAACCTTTTGTTTTTACTCCATTGGTACGTATCTCTGGTAAAAGTGTCTTATCTCGTCACAAACTGATACTTGACATTGAGGGTAAAAAATGATTATGCAATAAACTTGATTCAAATAAAAAATATTATTTATTTATTCGTTTGATCGTATTTCATAAGTCCATGTACTTCTAAAACAAAGCACAGCATGTTTTCACAACCATTAAAAATACTTAATGCTACTATGAACAGATTCAAATAACTGTACAATGAAATGGCCGGATTCAATGAGATCATTGTTAAGGATCATTTTTACAGGATTTATTTTCACTTACTCTATTCTTGGTACAGTACCAAATCTCAGAGTTTGAGTATTTTACATTCAAAGGATTTTCATCCTTCAATCTGTGCAGGTAAATACAGAAAGTAGCAATTATACATACAACTAACAATACAAAATTTTAACAAAATAAAATAAATAGTGGCTTGTTTGAATTGAAAATTTAAAATAACTATATCAATTTCAATACATAATTTCTGTCATCACAATAGAGTTTCCTTTTTCCTTATACTTACAAAGTACTGGCCAAGGAATATATAGATATAATCTCATTTAAGTCTGCTTAACTTTTAATTGTACTTTATATTTTGATGCATAACACCAGATCACACAAAGTCTTTTCAGGACTCCAACCCAGTAAGAAATGGTCTCAATGATATCAGACGAATGTCTATATCAGAAAACTGTCAATTTTCATGGCAGATCAATTTCTAAATGGTCTTAAAATCGACACATTTCTGATACAGAAATATCAATCCGATATCGCACTCAAGACTGTCTCTCACTGGGAACAGGCTTCAACTCAAATTCTACGGTCCTCACTGAGGCCAACTAGTTCAAGTTGAAGCCTGCGCTCTCCGCGTACACTAGGTATTGATTGGAGCAAACAGGACCCTAATCCTTGGGCTTGAATCGGGACATGTAGAAATCACAGTCTGGGCAGTAGATGGCGGGTGGCGCGACCACCTTCTTTCTACACAGATGGCACGGGGAGGCGTTGCTATGGCCGTTGCTGGTGCCGTTCATGGGGCCACTACTACTAGGCCCGTTGCCAGCTCCATGGCTCGGTCCGTTGGGGACCATGGGCCCGTTGCCGGGTCCGTTGGGCCTCTGGAAGGGTGCCCGCTGGTACACACCCTGCTGCTGGGGCCCGCCACCCTGGGCTCCACCCTGGGGACCCGCGGGGCCCTGCGGGGGGTAGCTGTACGCCGGGGGTGTCTGCGCGGGGTTGGGGCCCTCCGCCTCCGGCCGCGGGTGGTAGTAGTTGTTGCTCTTGGGCGGGCCGGGCGGTGAGTGACCCTGGGGGCCGTACCCCTGGGGGGCGAACCCCTGGGGGTTGTACCCCTGGGGCACGTGCTGGTACGTGGGGTGCGCCTGGTGCTGGGCCTGGTGCTGAGCCTGGTGCTGAGCCTGGTGCTG